CCTTAGCCTAAGACCGCTCGTCACGACCCTAAACCCCTAAGCCTTAAACCCTAATCCCAAACCCCTCAACCGGGTGTTTAGGGTGATTCATATACCCTAAACCCCTAAGCCTTACACCCTAAACCCAAAGCCCTAAACCGGGTGTTTAGGGTGATTCATAGCTTAAGACTGGACGACTGCATCTTCAAACTCCCAACCCGAAAGCTTTGCAGGGATGCTGGATCAGCTTTGTTTTGGGTTTAGGGTTTAGGGGTTTAGGGTTCGGGGGTCTAGGGTTTAGGGTTTAGGGGTCTAGGGTTTAGGTTATCAGGTTAGGGGCTCAAGGTTGTGATGGAGTGGAGTTTGAGGTTGCGGGAACATCGACAGATAGCCGGATAGCTCGATAGAAGAAAAGTGTGGTTGTGGTATGGAACCAGCTTTCGAACAGGCTGCAACATGTCCAAAGCAGGAACTTTTACCTGTGGCTGGACCTGCCGACATGGTGTCATGCTCTGCACGCGCGTAGCTGCAAGAGGTCTGCCAGAATCTGAAGCTTTCCCCAACTAACAGCTTCTGTGTGCACACACACACACACCCCATTCGAAGAGCATGAGAGGAGGCCGGCGAATGGGAGTTTGCGCTGCACTTGCTTTGCTGGACCCACGGATTGTATTCAGCCATGGTTTGCAGGCTCCGACTAGACGCCTTCACTCGGCCTCCCGTATAGGTCAAGTTAATGTCGTTATAATGCTTTCAGCGAGGCAGTGATTCCCTGCTGCATCTGACCGATAAGACTCCGGCTGATCCCCAACTAGGCCCGAAAGACGAGAGTAGCCCTCGAATACCCTAGTACAGTAGAGTCGTAGAGTCGTAGAGGCCGTCTGGAGCATAGTGGTCAACCACCTTGGTGATAAAGAGGTTCGCGATGCTTTGATGCTGCTCAGATTTGGGGTTTCGGCTCATTCTGGCTGTGCAACCCTAAACCCTAACCCTAAACCGACCCTAAACCCTAAACCCTAAACCTTGCGGTCATCTTGTTTCGCTGTCGTGCAGCAGCAGACCTTTACCTCCGACTGGCGAGTCTAGCGTGCTTTCCAGCTTCCTAACAAGCGTGTGCTTGCCTCCGGTCCTTTCTAAACCTCAGTTTCCAGATCAGCCTTCCGAATCCTGCACCGTTGTGACCGTTCAAAGCTTCAGGGCCTAAGAAGGTCCGAAACCTGCATCGCTTAGGGCTAGAGTCTGCATTCAAAACTGAGGATGCCTACCCAGCAGTGCCATGCGAATGTCGTGGGTGCCAGCAGCGCAGTGAGTGCTTGCGCAACTGAGACGCAGATATACGACGCAGATGCGTGTCGCTGAAGTCAGCAACGCCCAACTCAGGCCCCACCAGAATCCTTCCTCCGCAGCTCTATCGAGCTACACTGGGTAGCCTGAATTTCTCACATGCATTTACGGAAGTTATGGAAGTCGCGTTGCCAAGCCTCAGGAGAAGCAAAGCTGTTGGGAAGCAGCTGTTCTGCTACTCCTCTCAATGCCGGCTTTGAGGTGCATGCACCAAAATATGGGCCGAAATAATTGCCAATACTATGTTGAGGGCTCCTTATAGTTATTGTAGAAGATAGTGTGTATACATATATACATACATACATACAGACAGACATACATACATACAGACATACATACATACATACATACATACATACATACATACACACATACATACATCCAAACACACATACATACATACATACATACATACATACATACATACATACATACATACATGCATGCATGCATGCATGCATGCATGCATGCATGCATACATCCATGCATACATGCTTATGTATGTATGTATGTATGTATGTATGTATGTATGTATGTATGTATGTATGTATGTATGTATGTGCGTATGTATATATAAGTATATAGTAATTACGCGCGATTGCCAGGTCAGAGAGACTCAATGTCCCATCAGGTGCATCACCGAGCATGTAACTTAGTGGCATGGGCCTTGTCACCAGAGCATCCAGGCAGTCTGAATTGAATCAAAATTGAATGGAATCTTAGCCCTTGAAGCCGAGATTCCGGCCCTGAACACTATACCCCAAGTTCCGACCTTGCAATGCGGGCACAGTCCTAGCAGGTCATCTATGAGTCATAGGTGTTTGTCCATGAGGTGTAGGATCCTTACCTTGCAACTCCCCCTTTCCCACCAGACCTCATTTCCTTCAAATTATTATCCATTATTAATTTCCGAGCACCAAATCTGACCTTGCCAGAACACCCTCGTGCGTACAGTGCCTAGACGAAAAAGGAGGTGCTGCTACGTACCAACGACAGGGCAGACACTACCGAGCATCATTCGAATTCGGCGGCGGGCAGGTGCATGCCGAATGCCATCAGCTACAACAGTGCCATTGCTTCCCTCGAGCGGGGTAGCTACTGGCATATCGCGTTGTGCGGCAGCTGCAAGCAGACATGATGGTAGTGAGGGTTGTAGATGAGTTTGACATGGTTCTGAATCAACTGAAAACCGAGCGAGGTCACTCGTGCGCCAAATGTTTGAGACGGACGTGGACCCTGCCCCTCGTCCGCAACTTGAGCAAGCTCCACTTTCGCTTCCCAAAATATCGACGATTTTCGGAAAGCAAACAGCCGCATTGCAGCATACCTGCATTGATCTAGGTTCACATGTAGAAATCTGTTAAAGAATCCCTGGTTCTGATTCTTCATGCTGGGCTGAATATGTTTGGGGGTTCAGGGTTTGGGGGAATGGCCACGCAAAGCCCGTGGTCACAAAGGAATCCGGTCATTTTGGGGATCTCAGTTCGTGGCTTACCTAGATGCAACATGTAGTATACGCCCAGAACCTTAAGAACCTTAAAACCCTAAGCGTGCTCGTGCTGATGAATGAAGAGTGTGCAAGGGATCATTCGGGACTATGATAGATCCTCTACCCCAAGTAGGTAAGCCCTACTCGGAGGTTCATGGGTAGTTATATTACAAGCGGGATTATAAGTCCACGACAATATGTATCGTAATTAATCATAACAAGTTACGCCTACTTTTAGTTTTAACCCCACCAATGTCCACCCATACATGAACCTCCATGTAGACCCGATAAGCCCTAAACCCCACACCCTTGGGGTAGAGGTGATTGCCTGCTCGCTGTGAAGTCTTCGGAGTAGTTGGACACAGAGACCTCGTCTGGCAGATTTCGAGTTCCGAGAGCGTAAACCCTACTTGGAGGTTCATGGCTAGTCATAAGTGGGGTTTTAAGTAAGGTAACTAGAATTATAACTATAACCCATATTATAAGGGGACTTACAGCCCCAGTTATACCTACCCACGAACCTCCAAGTACACCCTACCCACGAACCTCCAAGTGCCCTTTTTTATTCGAGGACCTGACCACGTTTAACGCCGCTGCGGGCTCCTGTGACAGATCTGGCAGAGTGGGACCCTCAGGCGAGGGTTCGGGGCCTCGGATTTTGGGCTTTACATGGTAGAAGCTTTAGGTTTATAGGGGGCTGTTAAAAGGTTGGACAAAAAGGCTTCGAAAGCTTCTGATAAGCCCAAAGTCCCTCTTAAGATCTTTTAAGGTGTTGGCGCCTCCTTTCAAATGTCAAGCTTATAAAGCCAGGTGGGTAGCTCTCTAGATGAGGGCCCTTTATTTGGTCCCCAAAAATAGTAGGGCAGCAAGGGACCCTAGTTCAGAGAAGTGCCCAGGTAGGCCCCAAACTCGAACAAGTCGTCAGAATCCCAGACACAAAGCCCATTATATAGGGGCCTTAATAATTAGAATATAGTTCGGGATGTGTTATACTATAATTATAGTAAGGACCCCCCTAGAATCCTATTCTAATTATTATAGCCCCTACATGAACCCCACCAGTGAAATCTCAGACCCGGGCCGCTTCGAAGCCCACGGAATACAGCCCTGATCCCGAAGTCATTAACCCCCAGACCCTCCTTCCTAAACCCTAAAACTTAGGGTTTAGGGCTTGGGGCTTAAGGTTTAGGGCTTGGGGCTTAGGGTTTAGGGTGTTACGGTTTATGGGGTTTTGGGCTTTAAGCTTTAGGGCTTTAGGGTTTTAGGGTTTAGGATTTGGCTTAAGGCAGTTTAGCCCATCCATGACCTCAGCACGCAAAAAACAGGTGCCGTGCTTGAAAGCCAAAAACCCCTGCAAAGCCGGAGGCGAAAGCCGTTGACAAAACTCAAGAACAGTATATGAACATGCAGAAGTTAACATTCCACTTGTTTTAAACTGAAGCCTTGACCAACAAACCACGACTCCCACAGCCTATGAAGCCTTCACCGATGTCGCCTCCCAACAGCAATAGGTTTTGATTTCCATCGCACCTTTCTTCATCGTATAGGATCGTATACCGATAACAGCATGAACTAGTATGAATCTTACTGTATGAATCTTACTGGATTCCCCTAAACCCTAAACCCTATAAACCCTAAACCCCTAAACCCCTAAACCCTCAACCCTAAACCCTCAAAGGAGGCCCACAAACTCAAAAAGGAGAGCTCAGGTCTCCGAGCTCCTTCCGCTGCTCCTCGGCCAACTGCCGGCTCGCGCCTTGCGGACGCTGCGGCGCAGAGGAGGAGCGTTTTCGGCTAGGGTTTAGGGTTTTGGGTGTTCGGTTTAGGGTTTTGGGCTTTGGGTTTAGGGTTTCGGGTGTAATTAGGGTTTCCCAAAAACATGCTCTTGTGTTCGTATGTGTGAGTGTGTGTGTGTGTGTGTGTTTGTGTGTTTGTGTGTTTGAATGTGTGTGTGTGTGTTGTAGTGTTTTGTGGTTTTCTTAAGCTGACCTCCCGAAGCCCTAAACCATCCTGAACCCCGAACTCCTTATAAAAACCCTCAGCCCGAAACCCTTAACTGCCTAGACCCTACATCCCTACTTCCCTACTTCCCTAAACATCCTAAATCTGTCTCACCTCAACATACTACGCACCAACAATTTCGCCTGGTGTAAGCGCCGAAAGATTTCAGCCCCTGAGCCACTTGCGCAGGAGCTCCAGATGCGCAGCCGAAGCTAGTGTGGACATTCGAGTCGAAGGAGAAAGGATTCAGGCTTTTTGGGCTGCAGGGTGTAGTTAGGATTTATTGTTTTGGCGTTCAATCCCTTAAATTCTAGGGCCCCTAAAACTAAATTAAGGATTATTCCTTAAGGGGTATTGGGCGTTCTGGGTTTCTAGACCCTCCATCTACCCTTTGTTAGATCTTATAGATACCCTTATTTTGGTCCAAATTACCTTTGTTTGAGGGTACAAGGAGGGTGCTGGTTGCTGTTGGTTATTGCATTAGAGATGCTGTGACACGACGCATTGCAGCAGATGTCTACACTTGGATGCTTCAGTATTTGTGGCCGAGCAGGTGCCTGCTTGAAGTATCCACGCATGAGTGATGACTGAGATCAGGGTTCACGGAATCTCGAGGATCCACGACTTGTGTTGCACTGTGCTGAAGTCATCCTTGAAGCTTTAAGTTGATGCTGGAGCTAGGAAGGACAAATATACTAAGGTGCCTCGTACTTCTAAGAAACTCTTTTGTAGGTTGCCCAGCAAAATCAGGTTGAGCTCAGCCTTTCCATCAAAGCTCTTATGCTGCGCTGCTGCTCATCACGCCAAGCTCAGTTGGGTAGGAAGGCTCGGGCCAGGAAATCCCTCGACGTTTTTTTCGCCATGGCCAAGACGATCTTGCTG